GACTTCTAAGCACTAAATGTCGTCATAGAGAGTCTCAAAGAGATATCTCAAAGTCCACCCTGCATTTTATTAATTCTTAGAAAACCATATATTCTTTCATCTGGTAGTCAAGTTCAAGGTCACATCCGGGAGGATGAAACTATCAGGAACTGAATTACATGTTTGAAAATGCATTTCCTTGTCTTCAGGGTCGGAGCAGAAGAGCTGCCTCAGGAGGTGAATCTACTTCACACATGAGGGAATAGAAACAAAACAATCTTTAAAGTACAAACACCAAACTTCAAAAGTTACGAATACTAAACCAACACTGCTATTGTAGTAACTGTTATCACCATTGAATTCAAAAACTGAGTTACAAATTTTATTTGCAGCCCCTCTCTCCTGCCACACAATACTTCTTATCAATAAGCATCAGATATTTATTTTAATTTCCAAGCTTTTTGAAAAGCAGAGGACATTTATTTCTGTGAAGAAATGCAATGCTTCTCATCCAAAAGCGCAGGAGCATTTGGAATCTTCCCAAATTCTAGCTAAACAAGTCAGCACAGCCACCAAAGAAAAAATAAATCTGTGTTCTTCCTTTATCACAGGTCAATTATCACATAGCACATGGGGAGCTGCCAAAAACACTGCTATGTTCAGACACTAAAACTTGCATTTTATTTGCCTGCAGCTGCATTGCACAAAGAAGGGAGTGCTAACCCCCCTCCCCAAGACAAAACATGACCTACCCCAAAAGCACGGGGTGATTGATTCACTGCTTGCTTTTTTTTTTTTTTTTTTTTTTTTTTTTTCTTTCAGGGTACTGTTACTTCTCTTTTGTCCCAAATGCTATTTCTATAAAATGCTTTGATTGCAATGTATTGATTATTTTTTCCTTTTCATCCTTGTCTACCAGCACAGATAGACAGATGTGGCAAAGAGAGTAAAAAAGCACCATTTAAGGTTTTTCAGGTTCAGATTTCAAATTGCCCAGCATGGTCCCTATTTTATTATCAGAGACACTCTCTCCTTGCCTTGAGTTCTAACAACTTAAAATGAGATTTTATGCAAGATTTATTTTCAATGGAATGAGAAAAAAAAAATTAATCCTGAAGCTCTGTGAAGCTAAATTTTTTCCATTAAATTTTCAGACATAAAGCCTAAGTCTCCAAATTTCTAGCATTTGCCCTACTTCTATTGTATAAAATAAAGGTGCTATCAAGCAGCATCACTGTATGAGCTTAGATCTGGAAAGATTCCAGAATTTAAAATGGGAAGCATGTGGTTTCCTCAGCAACCTAGAAAATGTATTTTGGTGCCTACTGGGTATCAGTAACGATGCCAATTGTCATGTTAATTTTTCAGATCTTTGTTGTTCATAATCTTCTTTTGTGTCTTTCAACTGACCCCTAATCAGCCAGTAAACTTTCATGACTTTCTTCATCTTGATTTTTGAATGACCTAAAAGTATACTTTCTAGTTCACCACCTTTAATCAACACAATGAAACTAAAGGTTCATCAAACAAACCACGCAGTGGCCTCTGTCAATGAATCCAAACATAGACCCAATAGTAAAGGGTGCATTTTAAACCATTTTTGTTTCAACAACAGACATCGTAGCAACTTAGGATAGCACAGTTTTGGGCACCACACCAAAAAATTCCTTGTCATTGTCATCAGAATAGGTGATTACACATCTAGAACAGCCACAGAAAGTAAAAAAAAAAAAATTATTGGGTCCAAATACCCAACTGACTATGGCTACATTACTAGCACAGTCAACTTCTCTGGATTTCAAAAGAAGTAAACAGCTTCTAAATGGGTAAGTTATGCAAGTCAATGATTTTTTAATAAATTCTTTTCTTTTTAAACCTTTACCATTTTCGCTTTTGCTAGGAATTTTCTTTTTAGCTAGCATTAAAAACTATTAGTGTGCAAAAATTTAGTTAATTAGACTCAAACTTCAAAAATATCCTCCAATCTGAGGACCTGCTGAGGGATGAGTAGGTGGTAAAACCTGATTGAATAGTACCTACTAATGCAATTCTTAATTTTCATAAATTCCTTCAGCATGCCAATACCTGTCCCTTGTTCCTTCTCATAACTGCTGATTCCAAATATCCATAGAGAAATATTACTTAACACTATACAAAAAAAGTTGGTTTTGTACCACAAACCTTCCATAGTCTTTCACTGTATTCGATTAAAATGCCTGAGTACCATCTAAATTGTGTTGATTAACCTGAAACAAACATTTCCTATCAGATAACTAAGACAATAAAAAACCCTCAAACAAACTATCTATGATGTTTGTGACCTCTGAAGATACTTTAAACTGTACCTTGAGTTCTTCAACTAGAATATATATGTTAAAACCTGATCTGTCTGAACATACCAGTTTATAATCAGAGGGAGGAATAAAAACACTGCTGTGCACTGAGGGAAAAGTTTAAAGACTGAATATTTTTTTAATGACAATAAAATTCTGAACTGTCCTGGAAGGTCTGAAAGACAGCACTTGGATAAAGCAGAAAACAAGCTGTGCACTTTAATAAGAAAGTGCACTCTAGAAATGCAAAGGAAGAAAAAGTAAATCACTGTTTACAAGCATTAAGAGAAAAAAATTTACATGAGAGGAACTACAGGCAAGGGGTAGTATTAGTTATCTGTGAAGTCAAAAAATGGCAGGCATATATACCAGATAAAAATGAGACTTCATAATTTTTCCCTAGCACCTGAAACAGTTCTCACAACTTCCACAATAATACGTATTAAAAAATCAGATCAGTCCTTTCTTAGGTGTTGTCTCAAGCTCTGCTCTCCTGTGGAAAAATGCTAAAGAGAACAAGAAAAAAAGCCCTGCTTATTAAAGAAATAGAAATTCCATATTGCACCACAAACCTCCATAATTGTCAGCTGGATTCTTCACTAGGTTTGTTAGTTATAGAAACTGAAAAATTAACCTCTGAATTCACAACCCTCACAATTTAACTGTGTTAAGGGAAATGCTTCCAGCAACTTCACGGCTACAGCAAATTCAAATCTCTGCATGTGATTCTAGTTAGCAGCAGGAAATACATGGTTTTCTACAGATAGGTTATATGATTTTTATATGGAACAGGTTGCCCAGACAAGCTGTGGATGCCCCATCCCTGGAAGCGTTCAAGGCCAAGTTGGGTGGGGCTTTGAACAACCTGGTCTAGTGGAAGATTTCCTGCCCGTGGCAGCAGGATTGGAACTAGATGATCTTTAAGGTCCCTTCCAACACAAAGCATTCTAGGATGGTTTGATTCTGTGGTTTTGGGTGGGTTTTTTTTTTGTTTGAGAAGCACAGAGAAAGATTTACAAAACATCACAAACTGCAATTTATTATGGTAGTGTGATCCCCAGTTGAGCTGCCTAGGAGAACAAGACCTGAAGGCCTTTACATCTAAAAGCCTGGCTCCTCACTTTCCAACCTGAAGAGATCAGGTTCTTATATCCTGGAAGCAGTAAAAAACAAACCTCAAAAAACAGGCCAGATGCAAGAAGACACAAGATGAAACTGCCTTAATATGGATTACAGATGACTCCAAAAAAAAAGAGTACTAAAAAATGGGTAAAAAGAGAACCTTTAGCATTGCCTCTAAATGATCTAATGAAAGGTCATTCTCAAGTGACAAGTAAAGCGAGTAAGAAAATGTGTGAAAAAACAGCGTAAGAGTAAACAGAAGTAAAACACCCTCAGTGACATTTAACATTTACGCAAATGTCAGAGTCCTCACTTCTTGGTTAAACATTCAGCTGGGATCTCAATCTGTGTTTGGAGTGTGCGTGGCCAATTTTGAAAACAAAAAGAAAGCACAGCATAAAAATCAGAAATCTCTAAGTGTTTCTAAAAAGATGAACAGTCAAAAAAATGAGCCCATGAAGACTGGGAATTAGGGCTCTGCTCTGGAATTATTAATGACTTATTTATGGCTTAAGCCCATGCCTGGACTTTGATTCCCACAGGACGTTTGCTGTAACAGACCTGAACATGACCTAAACCCTCGTGATTCATGGTTATGTACAAGAAGAAAAGGCATTGGCCAGGCATCAGAAATTAATCAATATTCTGAACTATTAATATCATGAGAATTCCACAGAATTGTTTAAAGATCTAGGGAAAAAATAAAACAAAAAACACCCACATTTACAGCCTAATACATTTAATAAAAGCTCTAAGAGCAGCTTCTCTAAAGATAGAGAGAAAAAATATTCTTGAAAATTTATTGTGATACATGCACTTCTCTCTTTCTACCATATGTGGCAGAAAATTGGGATATATTGTGTGCAATTTGCCAACAATCATCTATAATGATGTTCAGTGCCCCAGGACTCAATGCCCTTTGGGAATCCTCTCTAATTTCTCTGACAGGGTCTACTTTTCCTTACCCAGACCTCCCCCATTTCACTGATAAGGTCTCCATTTTCTTATCCAGAAGGATATGAAGGATAGTCTGAACCCTGATTATCCTATCCTAGCAGTTCCCAAGAAATATTAAGTATGATAAAACAGCATTTCTAATGAAAGTTATACAAAGTTCTTCCTGAACTTTCCTCAGTAAGTTACTGAGAAATCATCCTAATTGCTTCTACTGATACAACTCCTCATTCATTTAGTCACATATTGAAGTTAGAGTCAGCCAGTGCTCTGCGCTTCAAACCAGTGTGGCTTTGGTAAGGTGTGGGAGTGAAAAGATTGATTTTTCAGATGATGTGCCCTCACACAGATACTTCAGTCATTGCCAATAGCACAGTGGAAGCAGAAGCAGCACACATAACCACCGAAAGGCAACAACCCCTGCTTTGAATTCTCTCAATTTTTTTTCATCAAAATTTCAAACTGAAATTCATCATTTCACCAGATTCCCATCACATGAATGGACTCAATCATCGATCTCCAAAATGTACATTCTAGTTCAGACTTTTTGACAGACTTGGAAATCAAGATGCATTAGAGATGTGTATCTGACTTAGACCTCTACCCTCTTACCTTCTTCTGAAGAACGTTAACTTTGCGTTCCTTCACCTCTAACATGTCCTTGAGGTCATGGATCTCTCCTGCTTGAGTCCCCTTCTCCTCTGCCATCTCCTGAATCTGCTTTGTCTTCTTATTTAGCATAGTCTCCTTCTCTTCCAGACGTAATCGTAATGCATCCACCTAGACTCAGAAATGCAGAAACAGGGTTTGTTTAGCACTGAAGGAGAGAAACCTTAGAAAAGTAAAACTGCACTTCCACAGGGGAAGTATTACAAACAGATTCAGAAATCTCACACCCCTTTAAGGATTCAACATACATAAAACCGTGATAAAACAGTTATCACAAGTGGCAGGAGACTAAACAGTAAAAATAAACTAATGTTTTATTTCCAAACTATATGAGACTAATGCTCCTTCTTGGAAAATCTCAAATGGTACTTCTCACATATCTCAGTCTTGCAACATACAAGTCTGGAATTTTTGCCTCAGAGTAGAAGCCAAGACAATGTGTTGTTGAGAAGTTCTCTCCTATGTAGAGAAACTGACCCCTTTATTTGAAACATTACTAACATTCAGAGATTTAAACACTGACTCTTAGTAACAAATAGTCACTTTATATTCTAGGTTTTAATCAGAATACTAGCTGAGCCTGGAGGTAATGGAAGTAGAGTTCTTTGCAGCAACTGCAGATCAAAACATGGGAAGAGGTTACCTTAGGATGGCTAAGAATATTTTGGCTTAAAAAGCAACATAATAGTTTATATGTAACATGCTTTTTCCACAGGATGCAATTTTATATTAGAGATAAAATGGAACAAATGACACAGTACAGGATATTGTGGGTGCAATTCGGACACGTAAACGCATTTAGAGCTTCCATGGCCTCAGTAAATTTAGAAACACGCTGGGAATTCTACGTATCCTCAAACTTCAAAACTGCATGTTGAACAGCTTTTGCTTTTCCTTCTTCATTTCTCTTACACAAACGAAACAGCTCACAAGACAAAGGAAATGGGAGAAGGAATCAGAGCTATCCGAATATAAATTTGATGAGAAGAATAAGGTCACCACAGAGCACAGACTAATCTCAAAGACTATTGTGGAAAACGAAATCCAACACCACCAAACTGCTCAAGACACCAAAAGAAACCCACTGACCCCTATCCACTCAGCATTCAGACAGAGCTCAAATCTGCCAGCTTGGCTGCTAATCTTATTTGACAGTATCAGATTTGGTTCCTGTTAGCTGAATCCATTACAGGACATCAGTCACACAGAGTAAACAGGGTGATCAATGAATTTCTTGGTCCTCCTGCACAGCATAGACTAGCAGAGACGTGAAGTGAAAAGATGACTTTGACAACTCCAGCTAAGGAAAGAATTTAGGAAGTCACTGTGCCTATGGTATTTTGAGCAGCATTTAGTTTTAATGTGTTATTCTAATTCCATTTTATTTTGATTTGTTAATGGAAAAGTTGCCTCTAAAGCTCTGCATTTACAGTTATGTTACACCCACAAAATCCTTTGCTGTTTTGTCTGACTCCTTTCACACAGAGAAATAAGCACTTGCCAGCAGGGGAAAGGACTGCCCTGCTCTCCCCATCAGCGCTGCAATCCCGCTGCCACCTCTATGTCTGGAGCCTTCTCACTTACACATACATTATTAAAATCACATTCCTGACCTTTCACCCAGCAAGTGGGGCATGGAGTATAATCTGCAGGGATATCAGACTTCCAGGTATACCCAAATATGATTTATAGGACAGCTAGTGTTTGCAATGAAAAGTTTAGCAGGTGGATCAGGCTTTGTCTTCTTTTTAAAAACATGCAGTTTCATAGACTGATCACATGATGTTCTTCTCTGGATGTCTCTGATATTAAAACTAAGAGTCACTTTTACTAATTCTTGAAGGGAAACTGAAAATCTCCCTCAGAAGAAAATCCACATACTCTCTACAGTTGTGTTGCAAAATATTTGAGACAGTCCAGATGCCTACAGCACAGTATGAACTGAAAAGAGAACATCTGCAAATAGAAATTTATCCACAGATTGCTTTCCATTTTCTGATTGATTATTCTCTTTGAACTCTATATTAGTTTACGGTTTGGGGTAAATTACATTCCTGGTATTACTTGTGTGAGGTCCTTGCCTAGGAAACCATAGAAAACACTTCCAAGAGTATTTTCAAAGGCTGGCAGGACACACAATCATCACCTTAGCACTATTCCTGGTAGAACACTGCACTTGTTTATTCATGTCAGCTCAGTTTATGTATGGCATCCTCCCACAGTGACAAGAATTGAGGTCTGTGGGAGTCAGGTGATGCCAACTTCAACAGAGCCAGCTTAAGATCCTCTCTGTACGTGGAAACAACCAGGCAAACAGCTACTGAGGTAGTGACGCCCCTACTCCTGACTTCTGTGTCTTGGATGGTGTTGTCTTAACCCTGGGTTAACCTACTGCTTTCACAGTAATAGATTGTCATGCCTTCAAATATGCATGGCAAGCCAAATCTTACAGTACAGCTCAGGCAACTGCTCCATGTAACAATGGGTTGGTTAACTTGACCTGCACAGACCATCCAACTGCCCGTGAAACTTGAGCAAAATCAGCACCTTGGTTGCCACCTTAATGCAAGAGCCTTCCCAGGTACAGATGCCTCTCTTCAGCTGGGTACCACACACAAGACTTGAATTTCTTCACTGTAAGAATGATCTATGAAAAGCTGTGTCGGGAACCATTGATCTGCCTTCACAGGATTTTCCAGCATCAGGAAATAACACTCTCCGACTCAGCTCTTAATATGTCTAGCCATACATTAAACATGCAGAAGCCCAAACTTCTAAGAAAAACTAGTCCATTAGTAGCTTTAATGACTACCTGAATAAACACAATAAATGAAATAATATTTAACATAAATTTAATCTTTGGCCTTTTTTAGAATCTTGATTCTGTAATTACAGTCTTAGCTTTCAGAATATTCCCAAACTATAGGGAAATCACTTCAATTTTCAAAGTCCACAGTGAGTTTCAGAACTGACTCAGGAGCTTGAGTCAATAGAACTTAGGTTGCACACATTCTTTTCCTGAATTTTAACATCACCCCCACTGCACAGTAGCAATCAGGTTATGAAGCTGCCAATTCTCACTTGGGGAAAAACCCCCAGTGTGCTACTCTTTTTCTTCTCATCTACCTGTCACCTGTTCAAACCATGGCTGAACTATTAGTTTAGATCAGTGAACCAAACCATACTTAATTCAGAGGTTTCAGATAGTACAATCTTCCCCCCATGCTCTATTCAAGCCCCAATTTCTCTGTAACAGCAAAATTCAAAATTCTAATTCTCTGTTGGTATGACTACAGACAGTAAAGGCAGAGAAAGGAACAGATGGAATACCAATCCTGAAATGTGTGTTTAGAGCTCACAAAGGTTTCTAACAGAAGCCAGCCACTTTTTAGAGCAGAGGTTAAGTAATTCTATGTCAGCACTCAGAATTCAAAGATAATTGAGAAAAGCACAGACATGAACTTATATTTGGTATGTGTGTCAGAGTTGCTTTTCACTTATAGTAGCTATTGTTCTGTGAAGTCTCCAAGTCTATTTTAAGAAGGATCAGTTTTGTGACATTTCATTACTAACTTGCAAACATATCATATAAATACAAAGAAGAGTTAAGCCTTTTTACTGATAGCATCATCTGTAATAAAGACTTTAAAGCTATGTTTATTGACTGATTTTGAATGCAGAGGTAGTTTACAGGACTTAATTTAATTCTCTACCTTTGACATTGATCTTTCTTATTTATTACGTTAGAGTTGACTCTTTACCTCCTTACACAGATTGCAGCTACATCAAGTATGGTCTGTAGAAGAGAGTGAACTCTTTATGAACACACAGCTCCAGTTACACCTGGACAACTCAGCAGGATTCCATGACCATGCCAGGGAGCAGGGGTGCACACACCTGGCTTTGTGCAGAGCTTGTCTGGTTCTGGCTGGGGTTATAAACTCAATGCAGGACAGATGTACTGATTCTAGGGCCTGCTCAGGTGGGAAATCAGTTCAAATGTTCTTCCACAACCTCATGGCAACCTCAGTTCTATGAGCTGACCTTCATGTTTGCAGGTGTCAGTATAGGTCTTCATGCAGCTGGTGCTAATAAGTCTTATTAGAGACACTCAGTTCCCATCTGCACATTCCTCACTAAATGTAACCCACTCCCTAACTGCCTCTGATTTGGGAGATCCTACTACAGTTTCCAAACACCAGTATAAGCCCCAGTAAAGAAAGAGCCTTAAAAAAAAATGTATGTTCTGCTAAGATATTCAGAGAAAATAAAAACTTACAGGACTAGATTCATTTTTCTACTGAATATTCATCTGAATTTACCATAGGAACAGACCAATTACAGAACCATGCCAGCTTGGGCAGTATACAAAAATAAAGGAGAATGTTCTCACTGGTTAATGTAACCTCCCACTGAAGCCACATACCTTCATAGCTTCTGGCACTGACCTAAGCTAAAGGGCTCACTGGGTAAAACAAACTTTATATGGATAAAGCCTTAATTCCAAAACAAACACTGACTTATTTTCTGTTCTGTTTACAAAGTGACCGTACAGTTTCAGAGCTATTTTTAAAGGTTTCTTCACAAATCAAAAACGCTAACCACAATATCCTCTCCACCCAGTAGCCCTCAAGATAAACACCCCACAAACAGCTCCCTGTTGTTTGCAGTTCTGGGGTGGCAGGTGGCAAATCCATTTTTGAGATATCATATCAACACTTTGCCCCCCCTACAAGCAGGTTTCTTTAACAGACAATTAAATAAAAGGGGTTATGAAGGTATTCTCTTTCAGAATGTTTATTTAAATATGACTTGAAAATACCAATCCCCTATGAAGATGCCTGCCAGTATTTTACAGAAACTGCACCTCTCTTCCTCCTCACAACTCTCTCTAGGTGTCTTGAGAGAAGCTAGTTATGCTTTAACATTGACCAGTGATGTCAACAAGTGGGCCCAAGCAAGATCCCACATTCCTATCCTATTCCCAGCAACAATGCTTGTATGGAAAGGAATCTTTTCCTTTAAAAAGGATTCAATGACAAACATTTCAACACTGTATATTTACAACATGTTTCAACCTTATACATGAGAGAATACTTGTGAAGGCAGATGATGATTTAACGGTTGAGCTTTCTGAGAAGAAGACCAACAAGGATGAAAAAGATAAGACTTATCTTTCAAAAAATATAAATATCTTCTTGGTACTACATAAAAATCCTCAGGAACACAACTAATCATTCTAAATACCTGCTCTGATACAATGGAATAGCCAGTTTATCAACAACACTTTCAATGTGTTAAATTCATAGCAGTCTGCCACATCTTACTGGACATGCTGGACTATTCAATCCATTAAATCTATCACAAAAACATCATTCTAAAGTATTATTAACGTTTTAGCTACAGCAGCTCCTTACTGAAAGACAGACAGACAGACAGAAAATCATTACCACAGATGTTACACTTTACTTACAATAGCTGAGAGCAAATTATGTGAATAACCTAAAAACAGTAAGCAGAAAATTGGTCTCTCTTTTCCCTCCTATCCCCCTCCTTTCAGTCACTTTTCATCAGTAAAAAAAGTTTTCACATTTCGAAGGAAGAATCCAATTTGGTTTGGAATTTTGTGGTGCTGTGTGAGAACCCCATTTGGAAGCACCCAGTGTAGAACGAATATTCTCAATGATTATTTCGTAATATTACAAGTTAGACAGTCATTTTCTATGTTAAAAAAGTACTTTGGCCTTCAGTGAAAATAAAAGCAAATGTTCTGAATAACTGTCAAGAGTATCTATCAAGGCTATATAACCAAGTCTTTCTGGTTTTAAATATTCTGTTTAAATTTTGTGCATTTTGAGTAAATATGCTTAACTATGTTAACAGCTGAAATTATGACCCTCTACTGAAGTCTTTTAGCTTGCCAATAAAGTGTATTTGTTCAAGAACTTATTTCTCATGAGCACAAAAGTACTGCTATTTATTATTTAAAAGTGAGAAGAGAAATGTGTTTCTAGCTTTGTAGGTTTGTCACAATACTGCACAATGATTTAACATACCTATATTCTTTTCAATCACTGTAATGGTTTAAACCTGCAACTTACCTCTGAAAACATTTATTTACATAATACCCATTTTCAATGATATTTTGAAATGTAATTTTTTTTTAATAGACATGTGTGAATCTAGGACACATTCCAGAACTAGCAAAAAGGAAAGAACAAATTTGATAAGAGGTTTATGATTATAAACTAGTTCACTTTCACAGTTACACCCAGTAATGCAATTTCAATTTCTACATAAATTTGAGAGTAACCAGAAAAGCCATCTTAGAACATCCAAAGACATATAACTTGATTTCTACATTCAACAAGGCCATGTGCCCCCACAGATTCACTGACTTTGGTTAAAGGAAAGCTACACGAGGGTAAAAGGTTCAGATCACTTCTCTTACACTCCTAAAATTTGGAACTTTCCTCCCAGAGTTACCCACAAATTTTCTGCATGCCTATTTCTCAGCTCCCTCGGCTTTCCACTGCTTTAGCTGTAAGGACACCTAGTTTTTGATGCATCACTGCCATCTTTTGGACTCCCACTAACACTGCAGTTTCCCAAGCCAAGGATTTGTAATGCTGTCTGCACTCAACATTCCGTGCTTGCCCTTCAAGAACGTCCAGAAGCAACACATTTATGCCCCATTTCGTATCTGTTTGATGTTCAGATACGCACTGGGGTCTTACATAATATGGGAATTTCTGAAGCACTTGTTACTGAAACACAGTTTAGAAAAGATTTTTCCTTTCTCTTGGAATATGCATCATACAACGTGAAAGCCCACATTTTAGGTGTGAGTACAGTCAACTTCAGAGTTCCTGAACATGCTGACAGTACTAGTGAAGCCTCTGCAAGGTTTATGCTACTGGAACTCTCTTCCTTTTTCTGCTCTCTTTTAGCTACAAGGTCACTGAAAATAAATCCCCCTAGCAACTTCCAGCTCAGCTGTGCACCCACACACATCTATTTGTCTTCACAATCCCCTGGCCTAGAGAATCAAACAGATAATTGAAGACACAAAGCACTCACAGTAAGCAGTACTGAGAGCCTGTGGGACCGTATAACCTAAGTAAAAAGAAACAAAATAATGCGTTTTATCTGTGAAAAGTCAGTAACTAAGGAGTTGCCCATTTCACCTCTGTCTGCAGGATGGCAGCCCTTTGCTCTTTAGCTGTAAGAGACTCTTTCAGAACTTCGATATGCTGCTTGCTGTCAGAGAACTGATTTGTGAGGGTCTCCAGCTTCGTCTGCAAGGCCAGCAACTCGGTGTCTTTGCGTGACAGCTCCTGTTTCACCTGACCAATCTGAAAAAGAAAGAAAAGACGGGCAAAGGAAGAAATAATTTATACCTTCCTTACAAAAATGACTAAAAATACATGTAACTACCAACACACAGTATGATAATTTCCTACTCAGCCCACAGAATTGTGAAGCCTTCCGTTAACTTGAATGAAAGGTCGGCAAAAATTTGTGTCAGGAGCAAAGGATACAAGGAAAAAGATGGGGGAGCAACAGCACCAGTTTTTCAAGAGAGGTTCTTTTTAAGGGAGGCAGTCTGCTCTTATTCATCTTCCAAAGGACCGACCAAAACCAGATGCTCAGCAGGGATAAAGTTTTAATGAAGATGAAGCAGAACCCCTCTCAGAAGATGAAGCAGAACCCGCCTCGAAACGTCAAATCAGAAAGTTTCCCTCCATCTCTCCACCTTAGAGAAGATGTCAAGGCACCCTTACTTTCCCCACTATTTACAAGACAAGCATTTCAATCTTCTAAGATTTAATCTATGGAGGTTTCTTAAAGCAGATGCAAATATACATCAGAACAACAAGAAAACTGTTTGTGGAATTGCATTTTGCTGGGAGAAATTTCCTAAATTTAATTTAGTAAATTAAATCAGTACAGAAATGCACATTTTAACAAATGTAGGTTGGAGTATTTAAAAAAACAAACAGTAAGAAATGCCAAAATAAAGCATTGAAATGAGCTGAAATGTCCTTCTAAGAGCAATCATCACCCAGGACAGTTTTTATTAAATCTGAGGGTAAAAAAAAAAAAAGGAAAAAAAAAAAAAGAAAAAAAAAGAAAAAATTCAGTAAAGAGGACAGGGAAGTCTAAATGTAGACTTATGTCCAAGTTTGTAACCAACTTTCTGGTTTGCTTCCTACAGATCTCACAGAATAGCAATACTTTATTGCTGCATATATTATATAGCAGAGGTGGACATATCTCTAAAAACTAAACAGTTTTTCCTTTTTTAACTTGAATAATTTTGTATGTGACATTAAAAAAAAATCCCTTGGTCTCAAAAGTATGTAGTCAAACGCTTCAAAACAGAAATTAAAGGACAACACGAACTAAAAAATTTGACCAGGTCATCCTCCATGTTTGGGAATGTGTTAAGAACAAAACAATGGTATAATTTATAATAAAAACAAAAATTAATTAGAATAAATGCACATACTAGTAGAAGTAACTGAGAGAAAAAGCTTGGGTAGATGCTGTTTTATCTTGACAACACTGTTTCAATAATGGGCAACTAAAGAAAGAAAACTCTATCCCAAAGAGTATTAAAACAGCATCAAAATAAGTCATCAAGGACTCCTGTGTTCCAGTGTGAAACAGTGTACATGAGATGAGGAGATGAGGAAGGAGGATGACATATCCCAAAAAACCTCACACAAACTAGTTTGTTTAAAATGGAAAAATGGGAAGGTGTACAAGATGAATTTATAGAACTATTCAATAGTTTATTATTCACTTAATTTAAACATACTAGGTTGGTTTTTTCATATTTTTACTAAAAGTAGATATGCACACAGAATGATTTTGCCACCTATTTAAATTCAATACCAAGGTATTGATGTTAGCAGCATTATCTCTGCTGTCAGCCACTGGTCAATACCCCCAGTTGTACAATACTGCCAGGCACAGTAGAACAGCTGGGAAGAGAGGAATTATTTACTGCTGGTTATGATTTCTAGAGTATCTAAACCAAAAAAAAAGCCTCCTTAAAAAATTTCAGATGACACAAACTTTTCCAATTAGTAGGCAGCCTGAACTATAGTAGAACTTTCTCAAAACCACTTTGGACTTTCTTTGAAATGATAAACCTTTTTGGGGTCATCTCAGAAGAGATGTTTATCACATGTCATTACATTAAAATTCCCAAGTAGCAAGACTCCCAAGAGCCTTGTGTCTAGAAAATCCCCATTTCAGAGCTGCAAGCCCACACTGTAAATGTGCTAAAGCTCTTTAGCAAAAGTGCAGCACATTCCATTCCACGCTGCAAGAGAACTTAAGACAGCATCAAGTGCTCACACCTCTCTTCTTGGTGAGACACTGTGTTCACTCTTTTGAGTGAAACTCTAATTTCACAGCATAGGAATAACCTAAACTCATGCTGCTAAAATTGAATGATCAGTTTTAAAAGCATTCAGCATCCAGCTTTTGTTATTTTTGGGGGAACAATGTTAAGAGGGTTCAACCCCAGCTTTCAAATTACTTTTGTTTCACTAGGAAAAGCAAACCTCTTTGAAAGTCTGGCCCCAAAATGGGTGCTGAATACTTCTGAAAATCTGCTTCAATAGAGAGGAGTAAGTTATTGCTCAAACGGCTCATACCATTAAAAAGAACCAACAAAACAAATACAGATGTTCAGCCGAAGAGTGATGTTATTTATGGACACCAAACCCATGTGAACAAAAAGGCAGCTACAAGGCTGAGCAGGCTGTTAGTTCTACTTGTTATATCAAGTTGTTAATAGGGTAAGAGAAGAAAAAGCTACCCCAAAAGCCAGAGAGCTACAAAGCCCCAGTGAACGGCCACTGCACGCAAAAGGTAGATCTTACTGCAGAGACCTCGGTCTGGAGACCAGCCACTCTTTTTTTCAGGTCCTCCCCTTGAGCCTCTTTGGCACTTAGCTCTTCCTTCAGTTGCTCTACCTGTCACGACATTGTTATGCTTTTAAATATTTATTTTTTGTCAGCTTCCAGTTACCCAGTCCGAGTAACTGAAAGCGACAAAGAACTGAGCAGAAGAATCAGCATTGGTCACTCATTTTCTCTTCCATTCTTCATAAAGTCTTCTCAAAAGTTTAATGTCTGTGTAATTTTATATAGCCTGCCAGACATGAATTGGATTATGAAACAAAAGATGCATAGTTATGATTATGCTCACAGATGCCCGGTATGGGGCATTTATCCCAACAGTTTTGAAACTGGAATTCATAAGGAAAACACGACAGGAAAAAGGACATATTTCAGTTTAAGAGGAGTAAAGTTAATTGTCAAGATACAGCCACAAATTACTATACAATACAACAGTCAAAAAATAAATGCTGTGCAATTACAAAAGAAAGTAGGACAACCAGATTGGAGATGATTACGAGTCACGAGTAAATAGTTACCAAAAAAGGAGCAAATTTTCTGCAGGAAAAATAAATGATCAGACACAACAGACAGAAGAGATCCAGAAATCAAGTAGCTACAGGTCCACAGAGGGAGAGGAGAAGGGGAAACTGAAGAGTTGCTAACAGGGGAAGAGGAAAGAAGAAAGAAAGATGAAAGAATGGAAGGAAGAGATGCTCTAATCGTGTCTCCATTCCTAATTTGAAGGGGGTATCCTTCAGTTCCTAGAAGCAACCCAGTGGAGTAAAGGACAAAAGTATAAAAGAAGAGATGTGGTTATCTTGAGGTAGATCAGTGAGCTGGTGTGAGGCAAGTGACAGAAACACATACTGAGTACATGTTCCTACTTAAGGGCAAGTAACACTTGACCAAGATATTTCATTCAGCACTCTTTTTTTGACAAATAATTTCAAGCAGGACAAATGCAGTAGGTAGGACCTAGGAGAGTCACTTGCAACCTCTGTTCCACAGATTTGTAAAAGTTAATTAAGAAAAGCAGGACTGTTCACAATATACTTGAATTTACTGCACAAGGAAGCCTGAATCTTCATTAAAGAATATTGTTAGGGCCTGGTAAAAGACTGAGAAACAAAGAATGAATTCACTTTTGCCTATAGACAACTCAGTTGTCAGTGTCCATCTTTATACCTGAGGATCAACACATCTCACTGCTGTATTTGTCCTGTATTTCAAACAATATAAATTAATGCTGGCACCACCAGTGTTGTAGAATCTACTTACATTCTGACTCCACTACTGTAAGGAGAGTGAAATGGAAAGCCATTATAATGACAGTTCATGCTCTTTTCAGCCTTTATATAATAACAAGGCCCACTAGTTACAGAACAACAGCTGCAGAAAGAAATATCCTTTTTTCAACAGACTGCATTTGAAAAGACTTTAGACCAAATAAAACTTGGAACTACAATGGGTTAGAAATGGTCTAAAGATAGACACAAAATCTTTCTAAAATAAAAGAAAATCAAGCGTGACAATAAAAGCAGAATTTGGGCCACTGAACTTACTGAGCCAGCATTACCATATTTTCAATTTTGAACTTAAAATTCTCTTAAATATTTACAAATTACTTCAGTGGCTTAATGGTAGAACACAATAAATTCTGTTCCCTAGCACTTGAATGGGAACCCAGACCATAACTCGTAGCTGTAGTATGAAAATTTCTCTCATGTTTGCTAAGCTCAGTTTAACTTAACACTGTCACTTGCTCTCTCAATACCTTATTTTTCATGAATTTGGAATGACTACGGTACACCTCCATCTGCTTCATTTCCTCTTCACGTTCCTCTGTGCTCAGAGCCCCATTTGACTTCAGCATCTGAATCTCCTCTTCCAAATCCCGGAGGCCCCGCTCCATGGAAGAAATTTTCGAATCCTGAAAACGATTGGAAGAGACAGATCAAGATACGCAATCGGACGATTTGTTACCATATTATCGGAGTGAAAAAAAGGAAATAATTTGTAAGATGTGTACCTGCCCTTGAAATTTACTCCTGAAGTTCCTACAGAAATCTTTACATCTGAGTGCTCAGATACTCATTTTTCTGTGTTTTTTCTACCTTTCAAGGAAAGTAAAAGTTTAGTACTTACCGAAAGAAAACATGGCTCAGGGTAGGGACACAGTATACGATGAATAAATAAAGGAACATGCAGAAAAGCTGCCTTGTAATGCAAAGCCAGCATAAACCAGAGAAATTTAATTCTAATTGAATGGACAGCCAAATGTGACTGCAAGAATGGCAAAAGATTGGATTTGTGCCACTAGAAATTGAAGTGGGGTCACAAATGGAGAACAGAAGGGCACCACAAGCAAGGAAAAGATGCAACAATCTAGTTTTGATTGGATATAGCAGGAAAGGATCTGTCAAGTATTCTGGCTCATACATACAACATATAAAGCATTTCCATGTTTTAAAAATATCCAGAAAAATAAAAAAGCCAATCTATCTTTATCCTCACAGTTTTGCAGGATGATCAGTCTACTTGGTTTACTTTTCATGAGAAGTCCTGTGTGTTAGGAAGAGTGAGAACAGATTCATACAGCACACAGGGTTTCATGTATACTCATGAATAGGGAGATGTATTCATGGATTGTAATCTCTCAAAGTAGGTTTGGTTTTTTTTAATTTAATTTCCCCAAAATATTTATTCTTTCCTGAAAAACAATTAGTGTTCAAAACTATCCTACAGCCTTTCACAAACGAAACCTTTATATTTTTTAATTTGATAATCAAAGAAGTGCTGAACAAAAAGCATGAAAGACTTTCACAGGTGTTCATTCATGAGATAAGGTTTTTTCTAAAGGACCATTACAAAGATCTTATTGGGTCTCCTGCTTAATGTTTGATGCTCGAGTTAAAATCAGTAAAGCAAACTTTTGCAACAAAAAATTAGAGAGGTAGTGAGGTGATGTGCTGAAATGTGTCCAGTATTGAGTTTCAGCCCTCACATCATTTCCCAGAAATGCCGGTGTGTTTCTCTTTTGATAGTAAAGACACTTATTGTTACCAGATGGTCAATTAGTTTTCATTAGTACGGACAAGAAAGATGACTAATAAAAGAATGACAGCAAATGAAAGGCTTCAGAGTAGAAAGATGGGATATGAATATGAAAAACATTGACACAGAATGGAAAAAGTTGCAAGGGAAAAAAGGAACGAAAATAAAAGGAGGGATACAAAAAAGAATAGCTTGCAAAGACAGTTTTCAATTTTTTAACTGTATTTGTCCAAAATACATGTCTGATGTACTTTATGGGCCACACAATATGAAATATGATACCAAAAAGCTGTGTAAACCACACATTTGATTGTGGCTCCTGAGCTCCTGGCAAACTGCCACCAATCCATTAAATACTTAAGTTAATGGTTTGAGAATTCAATTGCAAGTTCATCTAGAAAAGTTAGGTTTATGGTGGCATACAGACATCTTTCTAGCTATCTGCTCCATTCTTTAAGTGGGTGTTGAGTTTGTCAGCTTTGTTGGCACACAAAATGCAAAGCAGTATTTCAAATGTTGATAATATAAAAATAAAAGAACCCACATCATCATAAAAACTTAAAAGCCTTTCATACTAATCTATCATTCCCAGTCCATATTATGGACTTGTGGTTAACTGAAAGAAATCCATATATGCTGCTGCAGGCAGACAGAAGGCAGGATTCTACTGTGTCTGTCTCTTCACTGATCAGTAATAAATAACACAGATAATTAAACAGTACAAAGTAAATATACTTATTTTAAATTAGAAGACTAACAGAAGTATACGGTATTTCATACAAAAAGCCATTTTCCAGAGAACCAACTCTACTGTGGCCCACACACACAATCATTTACCTTCATCTCAATAACAGTTTGAAGAGCCTTTGTCTTGGCTGTGTCAGGAGCGTTTTCAAATCGACGATGGATCTCCTGTACCAGCAGAAAAGAAAGCAAGAGTCAGACTACTGCCATTACATCCCAATAAATACATAACTACTAGAAGCTTCTCCTTTTACTACACAGCATAACTCAGTGCTGCTTTCCTATGTTACCAGGTCATACATTTTCCTTTATCGCTTCTCATATCAAAGAAAGGACAGGTGAAAGTTCACTCACCGGAATCACAGCCTCGGTTAAAAAGGCACACCAGAAACTACATCTCTGACTACCTACTGACTCAGACTTGAAATGACAGCTGAGTCTACCAAAAAGCTCTATCATCTGCCTGCTAAACTAATCTAAACTCTTGACAGTTTCTCATGGAAGGCATAACATGTAATTCATTTGGTTGGGTGCTTACTGAAAACAGGTGCAGCTGTTGTTGATAACGCCCTTTTTCCAATTTTTTTACCCCAGAGTAGCATTATTTAACTATACAGGATGAAAACCTCTCTCCCCTGGGCCTTGAGCATTAGTGAAAGTACATGACTATACAGCACATTGTTCTAGAAGCTGAGAGTACACAAACAAGAGGAGACAAAAGTCCATGTGATATTTATGTTGATGTAAATTCACAAAAATAGCCTGTTTCAGACTGCTTATAGAATAACACGATAAAAAGCTGAAACAGCTTGTTCTACCATATAAAGTAGGGGTTTCAAGACAACAAATGTGAACACAGGAAAAAAAATATAGTAATTATTTGACTTTTTTTGTCTTAAAATAGTATTGTCCTTACACCACACACTAATGTTAAATGTAAGAATGTGAATACTGTTAGAATGCTAATCTTGTATGCCATAAAAATACTTTGGTGCCACAAGAGTACAAACTGTGATATCAGTTAACCTAACAACAAATGATTAATTATTTGAATGAAAGACGTAGAGCTGCACAGTTCTTTTCAAAATACTGAAAACACAACTTGCAAGGCTGTTAAGTGTCCTTACCCAGCTTTGAAGTGAGCAAGATCAAAATGTCTAATGACGTGACAGGGGCCACAAGAAGAATTTTGCATAAGTCTGGCATAAGACCATTTGCATGAGTTGATGTCCATTAGTGGTAACAACAAGAAAACCCAGCAGAAGGTTTGCCTGTTGTCTGTAGCATCGTAAGTGAGGTGGTATTTGGGAGTGCTCATCGGAGCCCACACCCTGTGCTGGTGTAATACCAAATTATTCTCTAATCTCTGCTTGGCTGTGAGAGCACCTACTGAGAATATACACATAAAGAACAGAACTCCAAGAATCTCGTTTAACTCCTTTGAGAGGAAACAAGCAAAAACAGTTGAAGACACCCATCACATCTCCACGGTACGTTAAAATTCACATCCACCTAAAGAAAAGTTACATGGGATGGGAAGAAAAGAGAGTTTGAATCCCTCAAATTTCACCATTTAAAAAAAAAAAAAAAGCTGCTTTTCCTAACTTCAAAACTCACATATGGGAAAACGGGAGTAATTATGAAGATGAGTCTTTAAGCTTAAGAAAGTGAAGAAAGATCCAAGAGTGAGAAGTATCCTATTCTGAATTGCAGAAGCTTTCTCTAAATACAGAAAGTTGCATCTCCAGCTGTTCCTGTCACATCAGTTGTACAACCATCCAAGTCCTATTATTGTAGAATAAAATGAAACAGTTTGATAATAGAAAAGAAATTAAAACAAACTCGTGAGCTTTTAGAAGCTGAGAAAACAAAGGCTAAGATGGTCGAAATATAATGTGCCATAAATCTATTTTGGATACTAATATTTTTATTTTCAGTAGTTAGATAATTTCCATTTGTGCAGAGACATGGTTTCTGACCTGAGAACATAAAATCAGCTACCACCATAGAAATGGAATAGATGGAATATGTAGTAGGGGAACAGCATGTCTGTAAAGGGATGCTAACCCAACAGTGCCTGCTTTCCACATTGCACAGCGTTTTCCCAAACAGAAAATTCTTCTGAGCTTCTTCTTTAGAAATGCCTGTATCTCCTCTGTCTCAAGTGATGCTCTGCACTTCAGCAAAGGAAATGTCCTACTTCTATCATCTTAAGTAATTCCACTGCGATTTGGATGACATAACCTGCCGAAAAATAACACCTCCCACCTCTTGACTGCATAGTAAGGCCTTAATTTTGGCAACATGCCTGTGATTCAGAGGAGCCTGAAAAAAAAGGCCAAAGGCAGACTGAGCCTCCCCTGAACACAGATTTAAGGGCAGCTGCTGAAGGAAGGTGGGGCACAGATATCCTTTTTAATTACGAAATATAGGTTACATACGTGTCTTTCAGTGGTACAACAGAGAAATACTAATATATGGTATCTCTGATGTATTCAGATTCTATTGTGGACACACCCCTCATAGATGAATGAAAATTAACATTTAAATCTCCAAACCAGGATTTTGCACAGTCATTAAAACCACAGAGCCACACACAGATATCAGGAGCAGAAAAATACAAAACCCATCCCTTGTCCCTTGCAAGTTCTCCATTTTGATAAGGTAATAAAGTATTATTCCTTGGCACTAATTTCACACACAAAGAACTTTCAATTGTTACTGTTCCATATCAGATTAGTAAATCTCAGCATCTTTGTACCTTTGAATGCAATGTACCTTATTAAACAAGGAGGGGCTCTTATAAATCTTTGTTAGGCTTTTATTGCTTTTGTATGTTCAATGATTCATTTATTTTAAAAGAGATGATAAAAAGGGAAAAACAGTTACTTGCCCCCAGGGGACAAGTACGTGCAACATGCAGGCTTTTCACTGTTAAATATTATTAAAAATAGGCACCATGTTTCAGTTTAGGCAAGTGGGATCTTCCAGCCACCAGATATCATCACAATATTGCCCCAAATATTGAAGAATGCTCTGTTATCCCATTTCTGTTCTGAGTTTTATGGTTAATACCCCATTATTACAAGCCAGTAGAGTTTCTACAATTCTTTGACATAAACAAGGAAAGCTTTAGGTGGAGGGATGCCTTATTGCCTGTCTGGCACTGGTGCTACCACTACAGGTATGCTGTGTCCACTTTGTGTGTCTACAATTTAAAAATGGTACTGATACATTTAAGAGAGCTCTAAGAATGACTGCAGGAGCATGATTTGCTACTAAAGAAAAAAAAAATCTAAGCAAAAATTATGGTGCGAATTGATTTCAACATTAAATTACATTTACAGGCAACAAGAATTCAAAATGGGTTGTTCTGCTCAATCCCCCCCCCCCAAAAAAAAAAATTAGGATTCAATAACCAGAAACAGAAGGCTAAAACCAGTCAGAATTTCTAATAAACAGTGTGGCCACCTTACCCAGAGCTGGGGTTCATATTTCATCACTGCCAAATATTAATTAAGAATAGGCATCTTCCTTTTAAAGAAGACCTACCACAGAAAAAGGTATAAACTAAAGGTGTGTATCATTATTACATCTGCCAAGTAGGTCTACAAGGTAGCACAGCACCCCATGAGAAACCAAACTGTAATTTTCTGGTCAGCATAATTACATAGAGCAGCTGATCAAACACGCTGAGAACACTGAATACATAAAGAATAGCTGTGATAAAGTGATTTTAATGCACCGTAAAGAATTAGAAATTCTACAGGTTTTTTTTCTTGACCAAGAAATCCCAAAATAATTCAAAATTAGAGGATATAGTTTAGAATTGAAGGAGTCCTCATTAGGCAGCAGTATAACCACTATAAATTATGCACGTTTGCATAAAAAGTAGGAATTTGGTCTGAACCTCTTCTTCCTGCATAACCTGGTCATATTATTAATTGTTATTTCCTGCATCTGGTTTTGCTTGGGGTTTCGAACAAATGTGAAGGTGCACTTTCAAGCCATGATGTTTTTATAGTGGTGTAGGCTATCTGCTTAAAAACACAGCAACTTATCTCTCAGTAGCCACAAGATAAGCAGTTTCCAAAGCAATAAAGGACATGCCTTCCATTTCCTGCCAAACTTACATGACCAGGCAGTACATTCCACATGGAGTAAGAAAAACACACTGTTTCATACATAATTTCTTTTTCAAAAAACTGTGAAAAAATGATGTATAATTAAAAGCAAAGTTGTAACTTACTTTTTTTTTTTTTTTTTAATCCTAACTGGCCTATCCATGTCTGTATATCATCAAATACGATGTTCTGTGGACAGAGCTTTGTAACATTCAGGGGACTGGAGAATTTTAGTTGACTAAAAACTATTTGGTTTTGTTCTCCAACATGTGGTCCAGGCTAAATTAATGTTTTATCTTTTTGTACCTAAAGCTTAGTTTCTCAGATATCTTTTCTGTCTACCTAGATTTTAGCAACCTAGTTCCAATTAATTACAATGAAATGCAAATGTTACAACTAAAGGAAAATTTCAGGAGCATCCACTGGTTCAGAATTAACCATCATTGTTAATTTTAGAAATTATTTAACAGATACATAAGATAAAATAGATCTTTGACTGTGTAGAAGGACAGATCATACCTGACTAACCTGATTTTCTTCTGCAGTGAAGTACCTGGCTGTGTGGGTAAGGGATGAGCAATGGGTGTTGCATGTCTTCACTGAGGGCCTTTGGCGTGGCCTCCAAACATTCTTGGGGGCAAATTGGTGAGACACAGAGTGGATAAGGGGTTAACAAAATGGGTGGAAAACCAGCTGGACTGTCAGGCTCAAAGCCTGGTGATGAGCACTGTGAGGTCCAGTGGGCAGCTGCTTCCTACTGACAACCCTCAGAGGCTGACACTGTTCAGTGCCTTCATTATTGATCTGAACGGTGGCATAGATGGCACTCCCTGCAGGTTTACAGATTACATGAAATTTGGGGAAGACATGAACTGGGAGAAAGCAGTGTGGCCTTGATGTAAAAAGAAAAACAAACCACCCAAAAACCAAAACAACCCAACTGCATCCTGGGCTGTATTAGCCAAAGTACACAACCAGGAGATGGGAAGCAGATGATTCTCTCTGTGCAGCTCCTGTGAGAGCACTGCTGGAGCACTGCGCCCA